GTAGTAGGTAAACTGGGATTCACTCTTACTGGGGGAATATCACCCAGGTTTTGACAGAATACAGAAGGCAAAAGAAACTGCATTTGGTATAATAAAATACAATTAGGCAGAGCAAGGTGGCTCATGCCTGCAATCCCAGCACTTTGGGAGGCCAAGGCAGGTGGACTGCCTGAGCTCAGGAGTTTGAGATCAGCCTGGGCAACACAGTAAAACCCTGTGTCTACAAAAAATACAAAAATTAGCAAGGCACGGTGGTACATGCCAGCCATCCCAGTTACCAGCAGGACTGGGGTGGGAGGATCGCTTGGGCCCAGGGGTCACAGCTACAGTGAGCTGTGTTCACACCACTGCACTCCAGAATGGGTGACAAAGCAAGACCCTGTCTCGAAAAAAAAAATTAGCAGCCTATAATTCCAAAGCAGAAAACCAGCTGCTGGCTATGCACTAAACCTGACCAGCCATTATGTGTAAGGTGTGTGTGTGTGCAAGTGTGCGTTTGCATATGTAGCATTTAAATACTTTATTTACTAACATTTACATTTCAGGAAATTTCACATCAAATAATCTATAGGATCTTTTTAAACATGAGGTGAGCAACATGCGATCCCCACTTCCTTGAGTCTTGCTCTATACCCCAGGCTGGAGTGCAGTGGCGCAATCTTGGCTCACTACAACCTCCGCCTCCTGGGTTCAGGTGATTCTCTTGCCTCAGTCTTCCACGTAGCTGGGACAACAGGTACGCATCACAATGCCCGGCTAATTTTTGTATTTTAGTAGAGACGGGGTTTCACCGTATTGGCTCCTGACCTCATGATCTGCCCACCTCAGCCTCCCAAAGCGGTGGGATTCCAGGCTTGAGCCACCATGCCTGGCCAAGACCCCCACTTCTATCAGTAGCCATCCTGGCTGGATCCAAGTAGGCTGCTTGTGTTTCCAGTTCACCCCAGTCCCTGCCTGGCCTCTGCAGGCCTCTAGGTTTGCAATCCTAGCTCCCTGCCACCACCACTACTACTGAGAGTGTGCCCCTCCACTACGCAGAACCTCATTGGCTGCCTGCAACCCTGGGGATCATCAGGGGAGGAGACACTAAGCCCATCAATCAGGTGAAAAACCTGAAGCCCAGAGAGGGAAAGTGACTTACCTAGAGACACACAGCTCTTAGTAAGCAGAGTGGAGGCCAACTCCAGACATCCCCACTCTGAGATTTAAGAAAAAAAAATGTGATTTAATAATCTCAAAGTTTCTTCCCTCTCTTTCCCTCTGTCCCTCTCTTCCTCCTTCCCTTTCTTCCTTCCTTCCCTCTCTCCCTCCCTTCCTTCCTTCCCTCTCTCCTTCCTTCCTCCCTTCCTCCCTTCCTTCCGCTTCCCTTCCCTACCTTCCCCTTCCCTTCCCTTCCCTCTTCCTTTCTTCCCTTTCTTTCTTTTCTCTTTCTCTCTCTCTCTCTTTCTCTCCCTCTTTGAGACAGGGTCTCAGTCCTCACTCTGTCACTGAGACTGGAGTACAGTGGCGTGATCACGGCTCACTGTAGCCTCGACTCCCTTGGGTTCAAGGGAGCCTCCCATCTCAGCTTCCCAAGTAGCTGGAACTACAGGCACGGGCCACCATACCCAGCTAATTTTTTGTAGAGATGGGGTTTCACCATGTTACCCAAGCTGGTCTCAAACTCCTGGGCTCAGGCAGTCCTCTTGCCTCGGCTTCCCGAAGTGCTGGGATTACAGCCGTGAGCCACTGCGCCCAGACAATCACAAAGTTTCTGAAGTAAGAAATGGGATTCTATTCCATCCCCAGCTAATTGTTCCTAACTGCTGGTGGCAGCCTGGTTTGTCTCCTGCTTGGACAAACACAGAGGTCTAAGCTCACACTTTTTCTCTTTTACGTTTTAAAAAAATTTATTTTCTATTTTTTTCCCCATGACGTGGCTCCAGGAGATCCTGAGAACATGTGCCCTACAGTTTGGCTTTCAATCTTCTCATTGCAAAGCTGGGATCATGCTGCAGATACCATTCTGCAGTGTACCCTTCCCACCAACCCAGCCCCCACGCAAGCCCCTGAATGGCCATCTTTCCCATTCAGGACACACAGCGTGTCTTTCTTTCTCCTATCACCCCACAGGCCTGAACAGAGGGTCAGAGAGGCGAAGTCCTGCGATTCACCTGCTCAGTCTCCCATCACAGGACCCTGGGCAAGTCACTCCTCTTCCAGAGCCTCAGTTTCCCTGCAGGAAACAGGAGGTGCTCAGAAGCAAGGTGGATGAAACAATTTCTGGGCTTCTTGTATCTCAAAAGAAATTCTCTTCCCATGGCTGGGTACGGTGGTTTACGCCTGTAATCCCAGCACTTAGGGAGGCTGAGGTGGGTGGATCACCTGAGGTCAGGAGTTCGAGACCAGCATGGCTAACATGGTGAAACCCCATCTCTACAAAAAAACATAAAAATTAGCCGGGCATGGTGGTACGCCCCTGTAATCCCAGTTACTTGGAAGGCTGAGGCAGGAGAATAGCTTGAATCAGGGTTTCAAGGAATCAGAAGCAGTGATTCCTGTGACTCACCTATTCACCTCTCCAGCATGACCGGTTCTCAACAGAGAAACGACTGTTTTCCAACAGCAGAGCAAAGTAGGAAGCTCATCAGAGGAAGCTGCGATTCCTGAGGTGTTCCTGTTAATGAAGCAAATAAACACAGCCTGCTGCTCTTGGTCTGTATCAACCAGGTTTCTTGGTCAAGCAGAGGTAGCAACTCTGGATTTTTAGGGCAGGAAACAACATGAAATTCACTGGAATGATATCAGAAGGACCCCACCTGCCCAGGAGTCTGGAGGTTGGCTTAGAAACTTAATAGACACTAAGACAGCAACATGGTGTCCAAGGCGGCTAGCGCACGAGCCCCGCTTTGTCAGGAGTGACGCGGCCACAGGCTGCCCCACCACCTGCGGACGTCATCTCTGCTGCTGCAGGACTATGTGGCGACCATCTCTATTCCCCTTCAGGGCATTCCTGCTGCTCTCACTGAGAATGGGTTCTAATTCTCAGTGAACCCTGGAGTTTGCCTCACCTGCTCCAGATTCAGGATCCCATGTGGAAGCAGCCAATTAGTCAGCCTAAGCCTTGTCTATAGCCCTGGGTGTTAGGGAAAAACATTTTGTTTTTCCTTCCATCCTCTGACCTGCCCTAGGTCACATCCGATGAATCTCCAACTTTGCTTAAGACAGCTAGACTCTGTTTTTGTCGCTTGCAAGATACTCGCAGTAGAGTGGAATTGCATCAAATGCAGAAAACACGGTGGCATTTTTACTGTAATGTCAGGGGCAAATGGTTGATAGATCACTGAAAAAGTAAATTGCTCAGTGCTGGAAATCTTCAGTGACATGGATGAAAAAATGTGAATTATCCAAGAACTGACGAATAGTTGACAAATGACACACATTGGTCCCGAGTTAGGCAAGTCAGTGGCTGTGGCTCTGTTGACTTCTTCAGGAAGAAATGGGTGAATCAACTGAATGTCAGGGGAGCCTCGGCTGACGGGGAGTTACAGGGACTGAGGCAAGTCGTCTGCTCCCTGCTACACACAAAAAACTCAGTGGGCCCTGGGGGCACTTTACGAGTCACTTAGGACAGGTTCTGCCGTGATTTTGTGCATTTTGGATCTCTCACCCCTGCTCTGGGCTCCAGCCAAGGCGTCCACAGGTTCTACACATGGAAATCAGATAATTAATGCCCGCTGGAGCAAGCCCATCAAGAACAGGAGCAGTGGTTAGAGGCCCCCTCTCCCCTCCCCCTCCCAGGGGAAAATTCTGAGGACACTCCTTGAAGCCTGCTCAGGAGGTCTCCAGTCACCCTATTAAACGCTTCTCCAGGCAGCCGTCTTTCATTCTTCTCTGTGTCACTCCTCCCAGACCCCAAGTCCTGCTGCTAGAATCACTTCCCAAACATATGCTCTGCATGTGAGCCTTGCCTATGGCTCTCCTTGAGGGGACCCCAGGCCACAGTTAGGCAGCATGAAGGCCCTGGGCTTTTGTGCTAAAAGTAATGGGAAGCCGCTGAAGAACTGGAAGCAGGTGTTGATGAAATCTATGTTCTTAGGGGCCAGCCTGGCCCAGGGTGGAGGATGGGCTGGGATAGCGGCCAAAGCTGTGCAACAGGGAAGACCATTCTGGAAGCTCTTGCAGGAGTCCGGGCAAAATGAGAGGGCACACTGGATAAGGGTGTTTGCAGACTGAATGAGGGTGTTTGCTGTCTGGCTGTCTCTGTCCCTTTATGTGTCATGGACTTTCTCTTAACCTACACACAGGCTCCTCTGATTTTAGCAGCTGCATGTGACCCATGCCAGTCTCAGGCCCTGGCTGCTGGATGGGGACCACGCATGTGCTCAGCCCAAGCCAGATGTCTACGAGCTTTTCCTGAGTGCCTCAGAGGACACTGGGCACTGGGGTCTCAGAAGAAGGACCGGCCAGGAGAGCAAGCAGAAGGGGCCATGGAGACCCAGCTCCTGAGACCCTGGAAAAAGGATCATGAGGAAATAAGGCAGGCACCCAGAGCCCAGGGGAGCCTCCATCAGCACCACAAAGGTGTAGGCATCAGTTGGTGTCGCTTAAACCCAAATCTCCAGAACACAAGAGGGGAGAGCCAGGTGGACCTGCCCCCTTTCCCAGCTGATGAGAAAACGGAGGCTCAGAGAGGCAGGATCTCTTGACTGCAGGCTGGGTTATCTTTTCAATGCACCACAAAGTTACTTGACTTGCTGCTGGCATCTGGTTTTGCTTTTATTTTCCTTCACAAATCAACTACTTTTTGAATACAGCATTTGCAGTTTCACTGGAATGTCATTGGCCCCTCAGCGTACCCTGTTCTCAAGCAGAACCAACCACAAGTCAAATCCTCCCACTGCCGGCTGACATCACCACCATCAGCTTTACCACTGTTAGGACAAAAACTTGAGACGGTAACTTGCCCCCAAAGTGGGAAAGGAGCTGTGAGACTGAGGAACGACTCGAACAAGTCCAGCTTGGCCAGTAGTTGAGTTTATTAGGACATCCACACAGGGGTCTCAGCAGGACAGCTCTAGAGATCCATTCCGCCTTCAGTCTGCAAACTGCTTTTCAGTTAACTTTCTGGCTCTTTGCCTGCCGTGTATGAGCCACTTTTTCTTGGTTGGTTCTCATGTTCTCCAGGATGTTTGGATTCTCAGAGGCACCTGGTCCTCAGTTGGGGACCAGGGCCATGGCTCATTGCCTGGCTTTCAGGGTTCAAGCAGGGGACATACACCCTTAAATAACCTAAAAGAGGACCCATCACACTACAACCATTACCATCAAGAAGCCAATGTTTAACTGAGACACCCCCGGAAGGACAAGGGGGAGTGGATGCTGGAGAGACAGGTGGGAGCCCATCGCCAGGAAAGACTTCATTCTTAGAAAAACATCAGACAAATGGGCGGGTCTGCATTTTGGCTTGCTGCGTCTTTAGCGCTTTCTCTTCCTGGCCTCCTCCTTGGTTGCTCCTGGACACCTCCCCTCTTTTCCTCCCCCAATATATTCTTTAGCCTAAAGCAAACTGTTTCTTCCCATTCCCCACACTATCCCGTCCCCTCTCTTCCCTTATTCCAGGCTCCGGTGTTCCTGCCTTCTCCCCGGCACACTTGCCGTCTGCATTAACCCCTCCCCTGCTGTGCTCAGCTACAGAAATGCCAAAGTCCCTAACACTCAGTTCCATCAACTTTGCCTCGCCCCCCTTATTCCTCTAATAAAATGTCTGCATTTTGTCCTGGCCTGTGTTCAGCTCGTCTCCCCTTGTGGCTGCACTGCTCTGGAGTTCCCCACTACATTATAGGTTCAGAGATCAACAGGACTGAGAGCGCAGATTCACCTCTAGCATCCGAGCCTGCTGCCTCAGGTCCTCCGCTGACCACGAATTTGCCCCCTCAAGCAAGTGCTTTGACTCGTACACAAGGTTGACCACATTTAGCACAAGTGGGATGCCTATAGAGGCTGCATTTGTCATCCGGCCCCCTCTGCCCACCAGCCAGTTGGTGCGTTCACTTGTTAAGAAGAACCCAGCATCATTTCCAGCTGAGGTTTGCCGAAGGTGTAGGACACCGGCTCTGGCTCCCCTCATGGCACGGACCTCCTCCCCAAGGACTTCTGTGGCTTTGTAAAAATCAATAATGCGGGAACGCGAGTCAGGTGGCATTTCACGCATAACTTCAACAAATTCTTTCAGTTTGTCAGTGCTGGTCACAGACAGCCTGTTGGCTTCGGCATGTGCTGATGATGTGTGTGAGTCCTCCACGGTACGGGTGATGAACCCAGCCACAAGAGACAGTGTTCCCAGCCCTGCCCCAGCTGTTGTGAGGGCCAGACTCACCCCTCCTGTAAAGGGTGCCAAAACAAAGCCGAGAATAGACATGATGCCAGAGGCAGTGCCAGCCGCGTAGGACACCACGTTGGAGATGGTGGAGTCTCTGTGGACCTTTTCAGTCCCATCTGCAAGGGCATAAATCTCCCTTATGGACTCCTGAATATTCCTTCGGAGTTGAGGACACTTTTTCAAAAACCATTCTCTTAACGGCCGGTCATTTTGCCACTTGCCTTTGTCGTCAATAACCACATCTGTTGTACGCTTCTTCAGAGTTTCATAGAGGGCATTTGCCTCGTCTCTGTACCAATAAAGGACAGATGATTAAGAAAGGCAGCTTATCTGTAAAATGAGCTTAATACGATCCATTCCACATAAATCACAGAACTGTTACTAGAAGTCAAATGGAAATAAAGTTTTAAAATGTAAATAATTTTTTCAAGGCTAAACACGTTTTGTACATCATAGATATGCCACAGTACTTACTCAGTATGGGAAGAAATAAGTTAAAGTCGTCTTCACATGCACCTTAGTGGTAGGTATTGGATAAAGACGGCTCCCCACGCGAGGGAGGTCACTGCCGTCACTACCAGAGTGTGTGGAGAGGGGAAACGTTGTAGAAAAACAAAGAGAAGTGGGATGGGAGCAAAAAGACCTTCATTCAGAGTATCACGGAACAGGGAGAAATTAACTTCTGATGAAGTTAATTAACTTGCCTTTGTCCTGTGCCCCTGGGAAGTGGTCTCTGGGGCCCTGGACTGTCCTGCCTGGTAGGAACGTCTTTAATCCCTTGTGGTTTGGCTTCAGGACAGTATAGCACTGTGATGGATGATGGGAGTTTGAGGATACTGGGTTTCTCTCCTGACCTTCAGAAGTGGAGACTAAGGGAGTGAGGCCGCGGAGACGGGCTGGAGACTCCACGTCAGCCACGAGGCCGGTTTGTGCTCCAGACCCAGGAAGAGCCCTGTACTGAGGCACGGGTTGAGAAAGACCTTCTCTTTGTCCAAACTCCAGGTGGGCTGTTCGGAGCCTCTTCTCCTCTAAGCGCTGACCTTGGCCTTCCACGCCCATGCTGTGCTCCCTGGGCCTGCACCACCCCAGCTCAGCCAGATTCCCCCAAGTCAGTTTAGGGAGGGTCCTCCCCCGTTGCTGTCTGAGCACCCTTGCCATCCGATCACGGCCTTCACCCGCTCATCGGATGGGTGAGCGTCTGACCTGCCTTTAGGGAGAATCCTCTCAGGCCAGTTTAGGACAAACCCCCCACTCTGCTGTCTCCTGTCAGTCGGGTTTCATCTCCCGCCCCTCACCCTGGTGTTGGCCAGGGCTCCCCCTCTGTCTTTACTGTATTCAAAGCTGCGCTCAGCCTCCCTCTTCTGTAAAAACAATCCTGATAAAGGCTTCTTTCCTGATTTAATGTGATTCACAGGAACTTTTCCTTAACTGGGTCAGCTTCCCTGGTCAGCAGCACCCCGCGTTTTGACTCACGCTGACTCGGGAGAACACAGCATCCTGGGGACAGTGGAAGCTTCAGACTCCGCCCTGTGCGTCTCTTGCTTAGACTGATTTTAATCTGTGTTCTTTCCCTGTGATAAACCGCAACCGTGCAATAACAGCTTTCAGTGAGTTTCCTGAGTCCTTGTAGTGAATTATCCAGCCTGAGGGGGGCTTAAGAAAGCCCCTCAAGTTTGCAACGGGTGTCAGAAGTAAGGGTGTACTCAGACGTTACATTTTGGCTAAATCTGAGTACTTAAGAAATCAAACAAAACCTCAGACTAGGAGGCATCACGTTGCCTGGTGTGCTCTCTCTTCCAGTGCCTCATGCCCTTTGACCTTTCGACTGAAGGCCACTGGGTCCAGTCAATGTCCTTTTTGACTGAAAAGTAAAAGACCTGGCTATGAATCCCGGCTCTACACGAACTCTCAAGCCACCTCACTGCCTCCTGACCTGGCACCTCCACATTCCAGGGACTCCCTCTCACATGTCACCAGCCAAACTAATGCCGTGGCAAGTGACATCTTCACCTGTGCGCATGCCAAGGCCATGTGCAATTTCATGGACCCTCTTGAGGACCCATGAGACTTTGAAAATCATCTCTGTCAATCACTAATGCTGAAAAGACCCAAATTTGGACCAGATGGTAGAGAAAGTGTTTTTCTCTTTGGTTGGGGACTTGTAAGTCTCCTGAGCACCTACTGTGTGTCAGTCATCATGCTAAGCACTTTACCTTATTTTTCTCATAATAAAGCTCAATGAATGAAGGCAGAAAGTAGTTACGTAACTTGCAAAGCTCCCATCACCAGTAGATGGCAGAAATGACCCTGCCCTTACGGGCTTCCTCTCCCTTCAACCTGAGGCCACTCACTGCCAGTGAAGGACTTGGGGAAAATATTCCTCCTGGACTACTGAGGGGGATAACCTCAGGCTCAGCAGAGGGGGCTGCCTGGAGGAAGTGTGCCTGAAACAGAAAACTAGCCCAGGGGAGATCTGGGCGTCATTGCCGGGGCACCCCATAGAGGTAACCCCCTGAAAGTTACCTGGGCAGTCCAGCCACAGCCACAAATCTCTGCCAGGCTTCACTGTCAGTCCGCAGGATTTCCAGATACACTGGATTAACTACCTTCTGGAAGAATTCGGTGATGTACCTAATTTCTAGTTGGAAGCAAAAAGGATAAGATTGGAAGAAAGTTTGCTACAGCATAAATGGCATTGAATACAAGGTGGTTTAGTGTTAGCCCTCCTGACCAGCTGTCACATGGGGTATTTTTGATGGAGGCATCAGTGCTATAGGCTGAAATATATCCCACCCCCCAATTCTTCTACTGAGTGATTATTTTTGGACATTGAGCCTTTGGGAAGTCATTAACTTAAAGGAGGTCATAAGGGTCGGACCCTAATACTGTAGGGCTGGTGTCCAATTAAAAGAAAAAAGAGACAGAAGATCTTCTCTCTATTCTCTCTCTTTCTGCTCTCTCTGTCTTGCCCTCTAGCCCTCTCTCCCTCATTCCTTCCCTTTCTCTCTCTTTTTACTCTCTCTCTTTCTCTCTCTCTCTCTCTCTCTCACACACACACACACACACACACGCACAGACAAACACACACATGGGGAAGACCGTGTGAGGACACAACACTGAGGCAGCTTCTGCAAGCCAGGAACAGAGCCCTTTCCAGACACCAACCCTGCTAACACCTTCACCTTGGACTTCTTGCCTCCAGAACGTTGAGAAAATAAGTCAGTTGTTGAAGCCATCCAGCCTGTGACATTTTACTAGGGCAGCCTGAGAAGAGTAATTTACCAGGGAAATGCCATGGTGCTTTGGGGAGGAACCCATCTATTTCAGCTGGCCTCTCTTGGGGCTTGGGGCACACTCATCGGCCTCCTTCTTCATCTGGGTTCCTCTGGGGCTCACTCGGCTCTGGAGGCACCACCTTTCATTCTAGGTGTGAGTAGGAACCAGCCAGGGAAGAGGAGGTGAGCCTACCTGAGTCTATGATGCTAGCGACAAGGTCACTGAGAGGCTTACCTTGGAGCTCTTCAGCCGCTGTCCAACCTGGATGGTTCTGCTGCACCCTTGAGGAGGAGAAAATAATTGTGAGATGGAATGTGAGCCACCTGTGGGCAGAGGGAGGCTCCAGCA